CTGGGCTGTGCAGGGGTGAGGGGTGAGGAGCAGGGCGTCTCAGGCCCCCCACTGGGCTGTGCAGGGGTGAGGGGTGAGGAGCAGGGCGTCTCAGCCCCCCACTGGGCTGTGGAGGGGTGAGGGATGAGGACCAGGGCATCTCAGGCCCCCTCCGCTGGGCTGTGCAGGGGTAAGGAGCGGGGCGTCTCAGCCCCCCACTGGGCTGTGCAGGGGTGAGGGGTGAGGAGCAGGGCGTCTCAGCCCCCCACTGGGCTGTGCAGGGGTGAGGGGTGAGGAGCAGGGCGTCTCAGCCCCCCCCGCTGGGCTGTGCAGGGGTGAGGGGTGAGGAGCAGGGCGTCTCAGGTCCCCCCCACTGGGCTGTGCAGGGGTGAGGGGTGAGGAGCAGGGCGTCTCAGCCCCCCCCACTGGGCTGTGCAGGGGGGCGTCTCAGTCACGCTGGGCTTGCAGGCCTTGTCAGGCCTGGCCTGCAGTGGGGCTTCCAGGGTCTCCTCTGTCCCGCCCCTCAGCACCTGCTTTCCGGTGGCCGCCTCACCTGTGGGACCCACCTGTGTCTGCTAGGAACCAAGCTGGGCGCGCGGGCTCACACCCACTGCCAGCACACAAGCCACCCTCACTCGGCTTCTCTGCGTCCTGCCAGACCTGTGTCCTGTCTGCCTGCGGCTGTCCTGGGGGCGGGGGGGGGCGCCCCCCTCCCGCACAAGGCCCCGCCCCGCCCGGCACTCACAGGTGATGATGTAGAGGTGTGCGGGCTCGCTGTGCAGCTGGCCCTGCTCCGTGCCCTGCACGGCCGTCACGGAGAGCTGGTACCGCCGGCCAGGCAGCAGGGGGCGCACTGTGTAGGATGCCAGCTTTCCGTTGGGGACGTAGCGGCTCTTGGTGCTCTGGCTGGTGGTCACGTTGATGACATAAGCCTCCAGTGAGGTGCCTGGAGCAGGGGGGTCCCAGACCACATGGGCAGCGGTGGCCATGACGCGGGAGGCCGTCAGGTTCGCCGGTGGCAGGGGCCCTGGACGGGGACGAGCAAGGGTGGCTGAGGGGCAGGCCGGGGGCGTCTGGGATCTGGCAGGGGTGGCTGAGGCCTGTGAAGCCCAGCAGTGTGTGTGTGCGGTGGGAGGGTGGGCTGCTGCCCGCAGTGTTACCCAGCCTGCTCGCACAGACCTTCCCCAGGATGTCGGTGAGGGAGGGCTGGACGCAGGGCTGTCCCTCCTCCCCAGCCATTCCAACCCACTGGGGGGCGTGTACACACAGGTGAGGCAGGGGGTGTCCCCAGAGAGGGCCCGCCACCGGCCCCTTCCTGACCCTTCAGCTCTGGTCAGTGCTGGGTGGAGGCGGGCAGGGGGTGGGCAGGAGTGTTTGGGTGCTGAAGGCAGCCTGGGAAGGTGTTCCCAGCAAGGGCCCTGGCCAGACTGGCAGGGTGGCTCCCTCCTCAGTCTTGGGAGGCCAGGGCCGGGGCAGTTTGGAGAGGGCTAGACGTGCACGGTGGAGGCTCACAGGCCTACTTACGGGTCCACACGTGCAGTGGCCCTGACGCCAGGCTCTCCGTGGGCCTCTCTGCCCCTGTAGGCCCACTGAGGGTGGTGGTCCGCAAGGTGTACCTCCTTCCAGGCAGCAGGTCCCTGCCACAGCAGGAGAGAGAACTTCCTAAACTGGTGGCCTGGGCCCCCTCTGTGGCGGGGCGGGGGCGGGGGGCATGGCTGGCCCTCAGAGTATGAGGCTGAGCAATCCTGTGCCGTGTCCTGTCTGGTCGGGGCTCCTGGAGGTGCCCAGGCTGGAAGCTCTCTGAAGGCCCAGGGGGCCGGGTCCTGAGTCTAGAGGGTCCCTGGGTTATGGCTCGTGCTGACACCTGCTTTCCTCCTGGGGCTCTGGAATCTTTACAGGCACAGACGGGGTCCCCAGTGGGTGACCAGCCCCGTGTGCCCACCTGGTCAGCGCTCCTGACCACAGCATTCGGCATGCCACGCTGTGGGGCAGCTCTCAGCTACCTGTGGGGCCCCTTTATGCCGAGTCCTCCTGGTAAGCTGGGCAGGCAGGGAGGTCAGTGGCCCCTGACTGGTGTCAGCAAAGCCCACCTGGGCCACTTGTGCTGTGGGCTGGAGCTGCCAGAGGCCCCTGAGGATCAGCAAGGCTCACCTGTGCTGTTCACAAATCATCTCAGACACCCTCAGGTAGAAGCCAGAACATACATCAGGGAAAGTCACGGAAGCCAGGCTGGTGGCACATGTCTGTCGTCCTAGCTACTCAGGACACTGAGATCTGAGGATCACGGTTCAAAGCCAGCCGGGGCAGGAAAGTCTGTGAGATTCTTAATCTCCAGTTAACCACGAGACAACCAGAAGTGGCGCTGTGGCTCAAAGTGGTAGAGCGCTAGCCTTGAGCACAAAAGCTTACAGACAGTGCCCAGGCCCCAGCTCAAGCCCCATCAAACAAAAACAAAACAAACAAAAACCATCCCGGCAGTGTTTGCAACAAAGAGTAGCGGGTCCTGGGAGGATGGTGGCGGCAGGCTGGGCTGTCAGGTGTGGGAGCTGGGATGCGTCTCTACAGAAAGTGACTGCGCAGCTGCAATCCCACGTCCAGCTCCGGGGCTGGGGCAGCGGCCCCTCCGAGCAGCCCCTCCTGTCCCCTGCAGGCTGACTGGGTGGGGAGCACCCTTCGGAGGGCTCTGCTGCGCTGTGGCCCCTGTTCTCAGTCCCCATCACACCTGTTTGCTCTGCACAGGCATCCAGAATTTTCCTCGCGGGCCATCCCTCCCCGGGGAGCCCAGGCCCCACGCTGCTGCCTGCCAGCCACCGTGCAGGCGCTGTGCCCAGGATCTGTGGGGCCCACTGTGGTTCCTTTCAGTAGTGTCAGGCGCCGTGCTGTTCACGGTGACTCTGGGAGGACACCACTCAGCACCAAGCGGGAGGACAACTGTTCAGACACAGAACTCACTGTGGCCTCTCCGCTTACCCGAAGGTGAGCTGGTCCACGCTCCTGTCCACCTCAGTGGCCCGGCCCTGGGGGGCCTCTGGGTGGAGGATGGACACTCGGACCCCGCTGACGGTGGCGTGGTGGACCCTGTGCAGGGCCCATCGAACGGAGATGGCACTGGCTGTCACGTTGGTCACCTCCAGGTCCTCAAGAGGGCGGGGTCCTGGGGGTGGCGGGCTGCTCAGTGGACGCAGGGGAGGGGGGGCTGGTGACAGATGCTGGGGTCTCAGGAGGTGGGGGAGGCGGGTCAGGGGTTCAGGCAGGGTGCAGACACCCAGGCTGTGCCCCAAGCTAGTGGGTACAGAGGGGTCCTAGCCAGGTCCTCAGTCTAGTGACATGCAGAGGCCGAGCTGCTGGCTGCCTGGTCTCGCAGGGCACGCCTGGTCCTGGGCTGGGTAGTACTAGGCCGTGTGATTGAAAGCAGCAGAGGGTCCTCCTCAGCCTCCATAGGCTCGGAGCTACTGGCCTCAGCTCCCACCTGTCCCGTCTCCCAGATGTCCCACAAGCGCACTGCCCAGCCGAGCCCTTGGCACCCAGGGCCCAGTGCTGATGGCGGTCCCTCCCGCGCATCCCGGGCCTCCAGCTAAGGCTCTGAGGTGGGGGCGGGGCAGGAGTCCGGCACGACTGAAGGCTCCCGCACCACCTGCTCCACGCCCCGCGTCTTCATCTCC